TTTTGAATTCTTTATTCGTGGAGGGATCGGCAGGAAGATGTGAGAAATCGAAGGCCCTCCGAAGGAATTTGAGAGCGGTATCAGCGAGTGACTGCGTTAAAAGCCCGTCGCCGAGTGGGGAAAAAAAAAAAAAAAGAAGCTGCCCTGGTTCCACGAGGTTGAATGAGTGACGCTGCGTAGCAGTGACGTGGTCGCGCCAGCGGGGTTTTTGATGAATGACCACGCCTTATGTTTCTGGGTTAAAGCCTCTGTACCAGGTTCCGTTCAGATATGTCCGTGAAAGTCCTGGAATCATCCGGCTGTTATAGACCTTTCCAGCGGCAGTCTCGAACGAAGCGAGCGGGCAAAAAATGCTGAGTCACTGAGCTGTGGACGTATGCGCAGCGTCCGATATACCGCACAGCAGTTCAACAGCGCATGCTTAAAAGGCGTTCCACAACCCAGCAGACAAAGATGGCAGCGCGCAGGAGGCGATTTCTGCAAAGGTCTTAGACCCTTTCCGAAATTGTGAAATAATGCATAGATTACAAGCAGCCGCCATTAGTTGGTTTCATCGCTTCCGGCGTGAAGCCTGTGATTGGTTGCGAGTTCGCGCCGAGTACTGACGCAGCACTCGTGTGGAATGCGTTTCGATTCGAGTGCGCTCCGAATGCTGACGAAGCTCTCGTGTCCAATGCGTGCTTATAGTGCAGGACCTACTAATGGCGGCCGCACATAATCTACGCATCATTTCGAAATTTCGAAAAGGGGTCTATTGCGCTGAGCCTATTTCACGGGTTGATCCCTAAATATGACATATAAAGATCGCGATATGTTCCAGATATGTTCCCTTGTTGCCTAATGCATCATTTGTTTCGAAGAGCGGTTCATGGATTGGATCTCAGGGCTGTCAAATATCATAAGGTAAATTGCGGTTTCAAACTTTCAATGGGGAAAGGCTTTTTTCCGTCTAGCATTCGTGCCATCACTAAGGCGTACTGTACGTTAAAAGACCAATAACCTGCCATCAAAATTAATTAATAATTTCCGTAACCGCATCCGCGGAACCTTTATCGGCAAGCTTTGCCTGAGATTAGTACCGATGAAGTTTCGCCCTAACAATAGACCCTTTTCAAAAGTGCATCCAATCTAGTAACTGCTGCGGCAATTATTCCACTCCGCCATTGTTTGTGCACGTACTCTAAGCATGTATTGGACACGTGTGCTGCGACAGCGTTCGGCGAGGACTTTGATCCCATCCCACGCTTCGTGCCCAAAGATGGACGGATGGATGCTAACGGCAGTAGCTTTTATAACGGGCGGTAGCTTGCGCCACCCAGCCTAAAAAGTAAGAACCCAAAGTATCATTTCTTTCCTTCGCCATTGTGCTTACCCTCTGCAATTTCGTAAGTATTACCAGGTGGCGTGGGATATCACCAGGATGACATTTGGGGTATCTGGCCAACAAATGGCGTCCACCAATGTTGCTCAATGGGCTTTTGAAAATGGTCTACTGGCAGACGAACAATTGCTGGTTGGGCGATGAGAATCCTAGCCGTACGAACCGGGAGATATGTTTGGTTTCCGCGACGGTTAGCCGCCCGCCACGGCCGGCGGCATCGAGTGGATGGAAATCGGTGAGAAAGTCCCCATCGTCGGCTCGGGAACTTCCGTTGCTACTGGTTTTGATGGGAGCCGAGTCAGGGCAACCGCGGCAGCGCGTGCCGATGACGCCCATAAAGCTTTCTCGCTTCCCGTGTGCAGCGAAACCTGCTTGTTCGCGGAGAGAAACGCACTACACCGCGTCTCACGCCTACGGTGGACTAGACTACAGCCAAGGTTACGGGCCGCCAGGTCCAATCGCGAACCAGTTACAAGTCACGGGACATATTGCTCCGACGCGCGTACGCCGAGACGCGTGCCACGCCAACACCGCGTGGATAGAGAGCCGTGGTGTTAACTTTTTTTACGTCACCTATTGAGGACCAGCGTTTGTCACATATTGCACACGGCTGATCTGTCGGAGTTCAGCTGGGGCTGGATGAACGCAAGCTTCAGCCGAACTCTGACGTAGCACTCGGGCGCAATGTGTGCTCCGTGGTTGCCCTCAGTAGGTGGCGTATCAAATTCAGCATAACGGCCTTGCTGTCTAGGTGTTGATCAGGCACGCACGACAACTGACTCGTTATTGGATGATGCTCACTTTGGCTGATACACGTTCCCCTCGATTTGGCGAATAGCTCACGCCTTGTACTTGTTTAAAAAAAAAAAAAAAACGTTTGAAATACTTTTATTTTGGTTTGCGACAGGCACGTAGCCAGGATTTTGTTTCGGGGGGAGGCCCACTCATGACAAAATGCTGTATGAGGAGGAGGGGGGAGAGGAGGACCCATGCAAAATGGAAGATTTCGGGGGGGGGGGGGGGGGGGGGGGGGGCGAGAAACAACTCCGCGAGAGGGTAAATGTAATCCGCATCAGCAGGCATTGCCACTTGATTCGATTCGCATCCGCAGTTTGTAGTATGAACCATAACGATCGAGATCTCAGCCATAATCTACGCAATGATATTGATTATCGTCCCGCTGCATTCGCACGCATTTCTTTCTTGATCTGACATCACGAGAGGCTTTGACGTCATAAAACCAAGCGGTCCTAATCTACTAAACGACAATCTCGAGTCTATAAGAGAGCATTTGTTTCCGATCCGTACTAACAGCTTACTATATATAATCGTATCGGTTACGCCTTCTGAGAAAAATGAGCGGCCTTATACACCGTTCTTAGTTGTAAAGACCGGGCGCAAATTAACGACTCCAGCGCCATCTACCTTTATCCGAAACCGTTTGGTTAACCTGACGCAATTACACAACTGCCACCCGGACGGGGTGTGCATTCAAGAAGTAGCACTGGCACCGCCGCAAATCGACCTGCTGTTTCGAGTTTCGAACTGAATACGGTCAGTTCCAACCTGGCGCATCGCTGACATGTGACACCTGGGAGTGCGCAAACGACGGATGCGAGCCCGACACGGCCGGCATGTCTGGTATGTCTGTCATGCGTGTACGCCGAGCCAGTGTATCTCTAATAAAAAAAAAAAAAAACTTTTTTTTTCGCTACCTGTCTTTACGGCACATCCTGTCGGGCGATACGCTTAGATGGCGCATTAAAAGTGGGGCCAAGGATCCATAACGGCGTTGCTTCTGTGGTGAACACACCCTCAAGGTTGCAGGTCGTGGGTGTGTTATCAATTTATCATTCTAAGCTCATGCATCGCTTGCACGCGACGTCATCGCACCATGCTGGCGGTCATTCCTATTAGTTCTTGACGGGAAAAACATATTCGTTAGTGCAAAATGTGTGCTGTAGACGTTCCACTGACGTTCTATCAGCGGCCACCTCAATGGCCGCTCATGGAACGTCAGTGCAGGCCATGTATACACAAACCCGACTCTTTGACGTCACGCCACTACGGCGGCGCTGCTGTCGTCACTGCTCATCCGCAAAAGCTTCATCTCACGCGAATCTGATTTCTGCGCAAGCGCAGTTCCCCACACCTGGTGTAAGCAAACGCACGCTTGTTTGTAGACAAGATGGACATGAGAGCTTGGGGATGGACATGGACATGAGAGCTTGAGTAGGAACGTTAGAAAGAGCTCCGACCGGACTTAGCCTTTCGAAAGACGTTCTGAGAACCGCAGAAACGAATGCAATCTACGCGCATAATTTCCCGCGGCCTTTCGAAACGTGCCCGTCGAGAAGCTGTGCCTCGCATCCAGTTGTGACCGAAAGGCCCTCGACGTTCTAGACTTCGATTCCTCTTGATTCATCGCAGTTCAACGTGCTTTTGAAGGCCCGATCGACGGCTCCGCGCTCCTTGATCGTCTCTCTGAGCGCCCATGTTTGCGTTTGCGTGTGCCGCGGCGTGATTACGAGTTTGACGTGGCTACAAAAGGGACTCGACGAGAGTCTGGCCTTCTCTTTCGGCGCCGCCGATGCCACAAGAGGAATTCGCGAGGCCCAGTTCGCGAACAATGGACTCGCCGTCACGTTGCCTTGTGGTCTACATGGCGTCTTTGTGTTACTTTCTGTTAGTCCCTTGCGGTGTCAAATGCGTGTTTCATCTCGCTGGAATTTGGCAGACGTCTTTAACGATTCCTTTGTTGGTTTTCGAACCCTGAATTCTGGGCTCCCAGCCCAGTAGTCTTGGGAGTTTAGGCGTTCTGAAAAAAATTGAAATGAAGGACGAAGGGTCATCATACGTAGACATGCTATTCGGTATAAAATGACTACTGCCTGGCGGGCTTTTTATTCCACCAGGGAATCAAAGCGGTTAGGGCAGTCACTCTATGGCCGTGAAAATTTCTTAGTTGTTGAGCTTTGGGATTACTTTTGTCGGTTCGCTTTATGGTGAAGAGGTCTTCGCTGGTCGGCTATTGGCTCCCGGATACTGCGGCAATTCTCAAAGAGAATAGGCATCCGTGTTGAAGAGGCGGCATTTCAGTTCATCTTCCAGTCAGTCATTTCTCTCTCCCAATAGTGCCTTTTTTCAATCAATTGAAGCGGTATTGCATCAGATAAAACGAAATAAATCTATGCACTTTCCATGATGATTTAAAACTAACCATTTCTTGCTCAGTTCTTGTCAATATTTTGTTTATCATGCGGGTTTCGTTTTACCCGGCAATCAACTAACGAATGCGGTTTGCAGACATCAGAGCCGTTTCTTACCGCGTGTGTACCGACATTTCCTTTGCCATCAGTTAGTGACACTCAAATGCAAACGACTGTTAAACAAGGTGAAGTCGACATGTCTGCGAACGGTAACCCTAGCTTGTCGGCCTCCTGATACAGAAACGTAAGCTTAACATTGGATCGAGATGAACTAACATAACGTGACGTAAAAAAAAAACTGTGACAGTGACGGTTTCTATTTTAGGCGCAGTCAGTTGCGTACTACTCTTTCTTTACTTTTGCAATGGTGGATCTCATTTGCTCCTATTTCTTTCCGCCTGTGTCCTTAGGACTGGGAACTGCTGGTGGTGTCCAAGCTCCGGTGGGACCTGTCCGGCGTCATAGCGAACGACTTCCTGGATCAACTCATCCACAGGATAGAACTGCCCGGGGAGTCACGCGGCCAGAGAGACCTCATCCGGAGTCACTCGCAAACCTTCATTACCCTCTGCGCCACCGGTGAGTCACCAATCTGTGCTCCAGCTGGATAAGTGTCATGGGGTCCGACTCAAAACTCATCATTCGGAATGACCGACTAATTTCGAACTTTCGTTTTTTTCTTACTTTTTTTTTTTTTTTTTTGCGTGTGTGTGGGTATTTGTCAAAGGAATCTTTTAAATTTTGTTTGAGGCTGTCTTTTGGAAATGGAAAAGCACGGATGGAGGAATTAAGAAATAAGTAACACAAGTACATCTCTGCTCTACTCAGAAAGTCTGGTCGTGAAGTATGGGGTTAAAATTATAGGGTCCTCAAGGAGTTCTGACACGTTGTTATTGGCGAAATGTTGTTGCTAAAAAATTAAACAATTAAAAAAAAACTTTTTTTTTATTTAACCGCTCTTGATTAGAGTATGAAGTGTTCACTAAATATCACCACGAATACTGCATAATGGCTAGTTCTCAATTTTCTAATATATTTGTTAATAAAAGTCGCCGGCGGTCCCTAGTTGAACCGGATTTTCTTAAAATTCCGACGTAACAAAAATCACTTTTTGAACGTTTTGCATTGGATGACCGAAAGAGGAGGAAACCAACACTATCATCCGGCCTCACTGGGGCCTGGGAACATCTCCGTTCTTCACTCTATCGAGGAATGCAAACCTATCTAAGCTCGGCTCCGGCTATCTCTCCCTTTAGAATGTACATATCGTTGGGTCCACCCCGTTTAAATTCAGCGGGCGTCGTATTAATAGAGCGCCAGACACAATGTTGCCTGCGTGTAAGAAAAAAACGAAAAGAAACAAGACGATTGGTTCTAGGAACGTGCCGCCACCCTGCCAAAAATGCGGTCCTGCCGTGTGATAACGACCGCTTACATTAGACGACGCTCGGATGGCGTGGAGGCGACAAGAGCGACAGTGTTGAGCGGGAAAGCTCTGCATTCAGCTGGTGCCCTTCCCTCACCAACTCCAGGAGCTGCATGCATAAGGAGACGGCAGTACACGCGCCTCTCGGGGCTTGGCTCGCTTTGCTGTTTGATTTGTACATGACGCGTATTGCAGGGGCGCCGCTGCATGTAGTATTCGGCAGTCCCTGCAATGGATCGCTGGTGACATAGGGTTCCTCTGAGCACACTGGGCTTCTTATGAGCGAGAATCTTTGCCGTACCGGCTGTCGTGACACTGCAGCTTTCAGGCAGAGCATAGCATCTGTAATAGTCACTGACATTTTAAAAAACGCGAGGGTCCCTTTTTATGTTCAGACGTCTAGCTTCGTGATTGGCTACTTGGCGTCCTTATCGCCAATCTGATTAGCCTCTGATGTTCGCAGCTCTACACACCCGGCGTTTCTGTCAGTGACTATTGCAGCAACTGTAGGACTTCGTGTTCATTGTCCAAAATGTGCTTCATCACGAGTGTTAATTGCTGCGACTTGTGAAAGTCAGTATGCCGTATCAAGATACTTTACTGACGATGCTCTTTAGAATGACACTCCGGCAAAAGCGGCGACTAACACAGCGGTTTTTCACAATCCAAATGACGATACTCTCATTTCTCCTTGTCTACATAGCTGTGCCCGTTACGTACTTGCCACATATCGGGCATCAGCGCTGAGCTTAACCTATCGACACATCCGATTCCGTGGAATAGCTCATTACTCTTAGCGTATCTGTGCCTACCATTCAACTTGACACATTAGTGACACTTCGTTTGAATCTCCAACGAGCCTAGGACTCACGCTCAGCGGCCTTGTCATCGAAAGGCGGCCAAGCAAGCTCACGATACGCTCTGAGCGTGTGTCACTGGCGCAGTTCACGATGCTGCGTGCGCCGTCGCATCATCGTCTCTGAATGGGGCTCCCTTGATTCATCCATTTCCGCGGCTCGTCGTGGCGTGGGGCCCAGCGACGACGAGGACCAAGAAGCGGGACAGCGACTCCAAGGTCGTAGCGTCTCCGCGGGTGTCTGGAGGGCCCACACCCACGCACTCCCCTCCGTCCCCCCCGCCGCTGACACAGCTCCTTTCTTCACAATGGAAGGAAACATCAACGGGAGGGATAAATGATCTGGCCGCGCTGTGGTGGTGGCGGCGGCGGCGGGCGGCGTGGAGCTCGCGAGAGCTGCGCTCTTGATGAGCCCGGATTCCCAGGAATCGGCCACTTGCTTCCTGTCTTCGAGAGAAGAAGGGACCGAAGAGGAGGACTCCTCCGTGGCTTGGAGTCCTCGGATGCGCTCCACGCCCTCGCAACACTTCCTCCTTTCCGCCTCTTCGCTTTAGCCCCTTCTGGCGTTCCTCTAGAGTAGACGGACTTTGGAGAGTGTGCCCTGGGATGGTCAGGGGGCGACCCGTCGTTTCAGTCACGCCGTCAGGATGTTTGCTCTCTTCAATGAACCGTGCTTTTCGTTTCTGTTTGAATGGGGGCGGGGGCGTGCGTACACTTTAGAACTGAATCCGGGTTTGGTATACCGGTTCCTCCGGAGTCCTCGCACGCTAAAGGTAGCCATATCCGCCTCCTTGACTGAGAAAACGGGCATTTAAGTTGTGCCTGAACCGTTTCTGCTTCTTTCTTTCTGGTAAGGCGTGCTTTGGAGACACTAAAGAGTCGACTCTTGCCATCAGCTATTGCTTACGGTCTGTTTATTTGAGGGCCTTCTTCGGGAATTGATGCCTTCGCAATATTCTTCAGAGATGACAAGTCCCCACACCCCAGACATTTCGAAGCAGAGCTCCAAACAAAATTGACTCGATTGTGGGGTCGCATTGGAGCTAAGTTGTCTGCTACGGAGCCCTATTGGCGACCCGCGCGACCAAGGGCGTCGCTGTGGTCACCCTTCCACGATTGACCAAACTCTCAATATGACGTCTTTTGTATGATGAATCCTAGTTTAATTGAAAAAATAGCGATGTCCGACTGCCATTTTTTGATGGTGTTGGTTCAATGATGCATTGCTGCAAGCTTCCACCCTACATTTTAAACGCACCATCGAAATTGTCGCTGGCAATCGATAATCCTGGTCGGTCATCAATTGTATATCTATCGATCGATCGACGCAGATAGGAACCATACCAGGGCCCCACCGGAACATCTGGTCGCCCATGAACTACAACTAAGTTACCAGGAGCGGTGAAGGAAAATGACTGTAGCAAGACGAGTTCATTCAGAATCCCGGTACTCGTTTGTTCTCTCATCTAACGTACTATTCGTAAGACTGTCAATGGCCAACCGGACGGAACTACACCATTCATAATGAAACGCGACGCCCCGGAGAGAGAGAGAGAACGTAAGAGAAAGGGAGAGTAGAAGGAAGTGGAAACAAAGCGGGCACATTGTCTCAAAATAAACGCGATAAACTAGAGACAGGAAGAGCGCATGCACTGCCGACGTCCTCTGCCGCCTACGCGCGGGATACCCTAAAGAAAATTGATTTCCACTATCGGCAGCTGGCGGGAAGTCCTCCGACGGGAACCACATCCTCTCGCTGCAGGGTCTCAGATCCGTCACGGGGCTAACTCTCTCACAATCTGCGTCCTCTTGGGCTCCTCTCGAAGGGAGCCCTCCAGCTGTTTTTGATTAGGACTCTCTCTTCCTTGCTCCGGGGACTTCCTGCCCGCTTGGCGCTTTGCATGCCACTGGGTCAAGGGCCCGCTAGGTCCAGGATCACTGCGTTGGGGGAACGAAAGCGCGGTGTATAAACAATTAATTGGCTACTGGAGCTTATCAACGCGTGTGATCTCTCCGGCGCTGGATATCTGACCAGTGCTGATGTTCAGCCAGTAAGCACAGACGAGGTATGGAAGGACACTAAACCTTACCACTGAAGTTGATGCTCCGAATGAGCACATTCCCCCTTGCTGGTTGTTACCACGGCAGACTTTAATTTGTGGCAGAAAAACCGCAAAGAGACGCCGATGACTTGTTTGGGGCTACTTCGTCGCGCTCTCCCACTGCTGAATGCCTGCAGACTGCTGCAATGAACGGGCCCCTCCAACTCCATGGAAACCTCTTGTTTTGTTTGACGACACTTGAAGCGTACACAAGCCCTGTACGAATGGGCACTGAGCATACAGGCTATTCAGGTCTCCGTGGGAACTGGCTCACTGTAAGATCTGTGAATATTGATGTTTTTTACACTATGTTTTTCAGTGAGCGTACGAAGCCTGCAGGTTGGAAAGTCTGCCGCGTATAAACGTTCATACACTTAAACAGCCAAGTTCATACTGGAATTTAGTTTCGCAAGAAGCACTGCATTTTTACACAGTGAAACCACATTAAAAAAAAAAAAAAAAAGAACATATCAATTTGAGCAAGAAAGAACGCGACGTGGGAAAGAAACGAACCCCCGAAATGGCCGTCCAGAGTGGGAGAACAGCCCATTTTAGCTAAAAAAAATGCAGGCCTACGTCACCGTTCAGGAATGTCCTCGCGGCGAAGCGCTGCCTCAAACGAACGCTGCCGGGTGCCTTATTAGAGGAACGTGTTCGATGTCATTAATGAGGCGCTTCGATCGCCGCGTCCGCGGTGGGTGCCGTAATTGGGGCTGATAAGCAGCCTGGCTGCTCGCTTCCAAGTCCTGCGCCGACAACGACATCAACATAAAGCTAAACAAGATGGCCGCGAGCTAGTATTCTGCCTCCCCTCGTCGTCCTCCTGCCGCTCAAGTTCAGGGTCGTCCTAGCCGGTCCGGGATAATTAGAGACGAGCTAGAGAGGCGGAGGCCCTTTCCTGCAACACCGTTTCTAATCCTGGGGGTGTCAGGGACATATTTCGCTATTTGTTGTCGTCTGGAGGAGGTGGAGTGACACGCTGGTTGTTTCTGGTCTCTGCCCCCCCCCCCCCCCCCCCCAAACCGTTTTGGGTGTAAATTCTAACGAGGGGTCTAAAGAGGAAAAGCTGTCCCACGCCTACTCGTTGGTGGTGAGAATGACACTGGGGTTTTTGACCCCGAGGTCGCGCTCGGGTCAGCGGTTATCTACTGCGCGTCGTGGTAGTAACGTTTGTTACAGGTCGTTCAATAGGTCG